GAAACCCTTCTCTCCACGTTCTGGAAAGTGATAGTGCCCATTTCATTACAGGTCATTGCTTAAAAGCGCCAGCCATAGCTCCATTTCTCCTGTTGCTCTCCCTAAAGCTTCAATGCAGTGGGTTTCCAGAGGAGGCCCCCACAAGTCCGAAATCGCAGCAAATTCATAGGGTCTAGTAAGGTCTGGTTCTGTCGGTTCTAGGGTGCATGCCTGAAGGCCTGCGCGGAGGTCCTCGAAGGTCCGAGCATCCTGAGAGAAACGGTTAATGCTGTCTTTCCCTGTATGAACAGTCTGCATGTAGCCACTACAGGATTTTTGGTCCCTTATTTGAATCTACAATCACTGTCAAGTAGACCAGGAACTGCATTTACCTTTGGATGTGTTGGCAGGTGCATTGCCAGGAAACTGGCTATCTCTGGAGGGCTGAGCCCTTCCTAGTGGCGGAGAAGGCTCTTGGCTGAGTCCTCCTTGATTCCAACCTTGTTCTCTGCCACACGGCCTCAGGCTTCCTTCTTGTTAGTCCCTTCCCTCAAAGGTGGATGGAGAGACTGCTGGCTGTCAGGAGAGTGTTTTCCCAGACCCTGTGTGAATAACTTCCTCCTTTTCTTCCCATCTTTGTTTAGATAATTATGTTTCTCGGTTTTCTGTAAGATCGCTATCTCCTGTAGCTGGTGAGGGCCTTAAACTCTTTAGGTAGCTGAGGATGACCTTGGTGGGTTTTTTGTTTGTTTGTCTGGTTGGTTTTTGTTTTGTTTTCTACGTGGGGGTTGTTTTGGTTTTTTGAGCATTTTGTTTTTGTCTTTTGAGACAGAGTCCCACTGTGTATTCCTGGTTGGCCTAGAACTCACTACTTAGAGCAGGATGACTTTGGGCTCACACAGACTCACCTACTTCCACCTTCTGAGAGCAGCGATTAAAGGGACGAACTGCTTCACCAGGCCTACTTTTTGACGGGCTGGGAATAGAGCCTCAGGCATGCTAAGCAAGCCCTCTAGCAGCTGAATCACGTCCCGGAAGACTCATTTATCATTCCTCTTAACTCCCTGAATTTGACTTCATCGCCCAGAAGATGGGGAGCGTTGCTTGTCTTGTCCACGGCCACTGGGGTTTCCCAAGCATGTGGGGCACTGACCGGCACACAGTGTGCACCTAATAAATAGTCTAACTAATGCTCTCGGCTTGAGGGGTCCTGGACTTGACTAACACTTCCTAATTTATAACTGATCACTTCTTCCTCTCTTATTCTGGTGCCAGGAACCTGCCACCCACGGGAAAGGCCTGCGAGGCCCTCCGTGGGGGAAAAAAAAAACTGGTTTCTTCTTACATATTGTAATCTGCAAGTAACCCTTTTTCCTCTCTTTCCGCATTTTTCCCCTCCTGCCAGTCCCCCCCCCCCAATAAAAGAAACCAGGCTTGTTGTAAAACGAGAGCTTGTAAACTCTCAAGACATTTTCACACGTGTAAGGTGTCTTCTGTGTCTGCTTATCTGGCCCCAAAGACAACAGTGAGATCCAGTCAGTCACCGTTCACAGGTTTGTGCAGGCCATTGGTTTTCCTCTGCGAGCTCACTGAGGTGAAACACGGAGCTGCCCTTGTTCAGTCCATCGGACCCACACAATGGCAACCTTGTCCGGCTCAACCTGGTGATTTTACTCTCAGTGGAGGCCTTTCCTGTGCACAATGCCTGACAGCTTATTCTTCTGCACACGCGGCTCCGTCAGTACCACTTACCCGTCCCTCTCTGTTCTGGAACCCCTCTTGAGCTCGCATTAACAGCACAAATAATTCATAAGCATTAGCAAGTCAGCGGGGAGCCCTGCCACTCAATCACTGTCCAGATTTCCTGAGTCTTGATGCGAATGACTGCTGGTCCGTGGGGCTTTTTCCAGGAAACCCTTCCCACTAATTCCCCTAACCAATGGCTGCTATGCAGTGCTGGGCACTGGAGATTCTGCACACATGGTGTCTTCCTGGGGCTGCTGCTAACTCTGCTTGCTGCTCACACTATGCTCCTCCTCCATCAATCTGGCCTCTAACTAGTGGTGTACATTTAGCCTGCTGTGTATCCGCCCCAGTCATGAAATCGCCCCCGCCCCGGTTTGTTGTTTAGGGTGTTTAGATTTCTGGGCCAGCACCACTAAGACAAAGAGCAAATTAACTTTTGGAGCTTAATTGTAAAAGGGGCTGCTTCCACCATCCCCTCCTCCCAACCCCTCCTGGCTTTGTTCCAGTCAACAGCAGCCGGACCTTTAACTCTCCAACTCCTCACAGCCAGAGTCCTGGGGGGGGGGGTGTCTGTGGATGGTGTGTCTCCTCTCAGCCATGACCCTACTCCTCCCTGCCTCCCAAATGACTGTCCAGGGACACCATCTATTTCCACGGTTCCCATTGGGCCTGGCCTCATTCTATGGGGGCTCAGAACAGCCGTATTCCCAGCCTGGCCTCATTTGCTTGAGAGCTGGCTAAATTCAACCGTGAAGATTACATGTCCACCCCAAAGCCCCATTAGCATAAGATGGGGCATGTAGTCTATAAGATCACCTGTCATGGAGGCTAAGCACGTCATACCAATCCAGCTGCACCAGATTAAAAGGCTGGACTTGAACATTTTGGCTCCAAGAACAAAACAGTAATAGGAGACCAGAACATTAAAAGTAATCTGCAGCCTACAGAATACGTCAGACTAGAGATGTGTTGGGGGGGAGGCACACAAGAGACAAAATAAAATGACAATCTCCTCTACTCATCAATCAATGGCCAGATCCCTTGTTCAGGAGAACGGGCCATAAAACCCGACACCCCGCTGTGAGGTCAATGGGCTCGCCTTCAAATCCTCCCCAGCGTGTCACCAACTGTGAATCCGCCCCTGTCACCAGCTGTGAACCCACCCCAATTTGTTTTCAGTGGAAACCGAGCTGAAAACAAACAAAACCACCTACTGTAAGGCCTGAAGAAAGAATTAATGGAAAACACTGGCCGCATTTGAACTTAGTCACAGCAGTTTAGATACACACAAGACACATTAATCTGATCTTTTGTGTGTTTATTTATTTGGGGGAGGATTTTTTCCAAATAGGGTCTCCCTATAAAGTCCTCTCTGTCCTGGAACTTGCTATGTCGACCAGCCTGGCCTAGAACTCACAGAGATCTGCCTGCCTCCGCTTCCAGTGCTGAGATTAAAGATGTGTGCCACCATGCCCAGGTCGTTATGTATTTACTATCACTAACACAGCATCAAGGCATTAATTAACTTTAAAAACAAAACAGAAACAAGAAACGTAGAAGCTGGGCTTGGTGATGCACACCTTAATCCCAGCACTCATGAGGCAGAAGCAGGCAGATCCCTGAGTTCAAACCCAGCCTGGTCTACAGACTCAGTTCCAGGACAGCCAAGGCTATACAGAGAAACCGGGTCTCGTAAAGCAAAACAAAACAAAAATTAATTCACAGCTATTTCGTAGCTCAAATTTGAGACCATTGTTGAAAAATGATGAGCAGAGAAAAGGTAACGGCTTTACTCCAGCTACTTTAAAGTGGACAGCGCTAAAAACTCCCGGATGCCTCACCTTAGCAGGGGGACAGATAATTCAGATAAACGAATCTTGGGGGGCAGGGCTTCTACTTCAGTGGTAGAGATTCGTGTTTACTTGCGTGCAAAGCTCTGCATTCAAGCCTCAGCAAGGGGAAAATATATTTAAAGTGGACTGAATAAATTCACGTTCTTTTTTTTTTCTCAATCCTCACCAGCCCCCGGATGCAAGCGTAGGCATTTGTATTATTTAGGGCACAGAGAGCGCAAGGCTCTGGTAGCAGATCACACAGCAGCTGGTAGAGGACAGAGTGTGCCGTCAGCTGACTCTGAATTCCAGGACTTCCCACCAGGCTGGGGGGGGGGGGGTTACCCAGCACACCCAGCCTCCAGGCAGAAGGATGAGTCTGGGTTAGCCAGGTGGGACTCAGTGGACAGCCTCGTCAACCCCTTAGGGGGCTTTTCCTTCCGGACGGGGGGGATCCCCAGTCTCCGAGCATGCCCAGTGTTCTCCTGCCGGTCCGACCAGGGCTGCCGTGGCTCCAGGTTTTGTGTGCGATCCTAGGCGGGCCCAGGGCAGTGCAGCCCCCAGGACTCCCGGCTCTGTTGGAATTCCCCGGACTCAGCGCTCTGGCGGCACCCGCCGCGGTGCACTACCTTGGGACCGAGATCCGGATTTAAGCTGGGAAACCAGGCACGAACCCTCGCTCCATGGTGGCTTGGTGAAAAAAGTCTCGGGGCATCTGGCACCAGGTCCGACTATAGGGCCCGAGCCATCGCTCCATCCTTTTGTTAACCTCTTCATTCAACAAAACGTTTTTAGTGCGTGCCAAGAGTTATTTGGAGGCTAGGTCTCTTGAAAGGCGGAGCCACTGAACTGACATTGAAGGGAGGCACTCCTTAAGGGGCATCAAGAGAGACAGCCAGTAAGCGACCCTATCTGCCCCATTTGCCCCTCTGCCCTCTTTCCCGAGTCATAGGCACAAAACTTGCGTTTTGTTTTGGCGCTGGCTTTTCCGTCCTAGGAAAGCTTCCTCGTTTAGCTGCGTGACTGAATGGTATCTGTCACCTGATCCGGCTGTTCCACTAGCTCTCACCGGGCTACCCCCTAGCCTTCTCGCCCGGCTCTTTTTCTCTGTTCTTTATCACCTCGCACACTGCGTTGTTTGCGGGCCTGTTTGCTGCGAGAGACTCCCTACCAAACTCCCAGCAAGTGACAGAATTTTTGTTTATAGTTTAAGTGTGAAGAACGTAAGTAGCCATTGAGTGGATAAATGGTACATGCTTGGAAGGCGATAACAGACGCGGAGAGTTTAAAAAGGTAGCCAGAAAGGCCACTCCGAGGAAAGGTACCTGTACGGTGAGAGGGCGCCGGGCATCAGCCAAGTTAGGGGGGGGGGGGGAGAAAGACGTCCTACCCCGAGGGAAAGGCGGTACAAATGTCCCGAGGCGAGTCAAGTTTAGGGGGTGTGGTGGAGAGGAAGGTGCACGCCGAGCGCAGGTAGGCAGGTGTGGGAGGAGGCGGAAGAGGCTGACAGGAACGCCCGCCAGTTAGGGGCCCCGCAGGCCCTGGGACGGGCCAACCCGCTTGGCGTCCTAGGACCAGCAAAGGAGCGCTGCGCTGCAGTCTGCGCGACCCCCAACTCAGCCACGGAGCCCCGTGCAAGCTTTCTGTCCTTTCCGCCAAGTCCTTGCCATTTCGAGGCATGCCATCCCGGAAAGCCAGGCACACAGTAGGTGTTCAATAAATGCTTAAGGTATGAATGGCGGCGTGCGTGAACCGGGGTCTCGGAGGTCTGCGGGAGTTCGGCAGGTGGCCCGCGGAGGCGCGTGGCAGCGTCCCCCAAGTCTGTCCCGGGCCCGCCCCTGTCCCGGGTCCCCCCGCCCCGCGCGCGGGCCCGTCGCGGCCACAGCCGGGCCGGCGGGAGCCGCCCGCGGGCTGCACTGGGCATGCTCAGACGGCGGCCAGGTCGCGGCGCGAGCGAGCTTCCGTGCCGCCCGCCAGCCCGCGCGACCTACCTGGGCGCCCCGCGCCCCCGGATGCTGCAGGTATGGGCGGCTGGGATCTCCGCGGGGCGGACCGGGGCGCGGGCTGCTGGGTTCGGGGACACCCAGGGCGCCACCCCACCCCCACCCGGCCCGGGGCGCGGCGGACACGCGGGAGGACTAGCGGGAGGGCTGGCAGCCCCGGGTCCCCGCGCCACGTCGGGCATCCGGGGGGGCGCAGGCCGGGATCACCTGGCGGGGCTGGGGCGGGGCGCGGGCGGGGGCGGCGCAGGGTTGGGCGTTCAGGACTTGGCGGCGCGAGCGTGGGCGTGCGCTCCAGTCTGGCTGAGTCCTGGGGCCCGCGCCGCAGTATCCTCAGCCCAGCCGAGGGGGCGCACCGCCGTGGGGATTCAGTCTTCCGCGGCCCCCGAGGCTCGCCCCCTCCCCCACGGGGGGGGGGATGGCAAATTCGCCTGCCGATTGCAAAGACGGCATTTCCTGGGCCTGGCACGAACTCCAGAGTCAAACCAATCCGCCCCGTTCTGCGAGCCACCGGATGGCTTCTCTGTTAACTTGCGGTGACATTGCTGCGTTGTGCGGAGAGAGAACGCTCCCCGAAAACCCTCGCCCCCGGTTGCAGCCACCCAAACTTATTACGAACTTGACATTTGCCTTTAAAAAATTAATGGGAAGTTAAGACAACTTGACACCTGGGTGTTCTATGAAGGTGCAGGGAGCTCGTGGTTGGGAAACGAGAGACCTGGGTATAAGTTGGGCTCTTCCCCTTGGCCAGCTGGTGACCTTGGACGAGTCGGTTAACCTCCCTGATCTTCCATTTCCTCCCTTGCATGCAGGCAGTAATAATGCCCACCTCGCCGGGTTGGTGGTGGATTAAGTAGGATAAATGATGTGGAGGTGTTTGGCTCCGTGCCCGGCACAAAGCAAGCGAACAGTTGGCGTGATGTGATTTTAATTCAGTTAGAGACCCTCGTGGCTCCCATTTCGACAGGAAATTAGAATTAGGCAAGCATTTTCGGAGCCTGTGTTTGTGCCCCGGAGAATGTCTGCTGAGGCTTTAGAAAAGCGACTCAATAGTGCGGCGGATGAGCAGAGAGCCTCCTGTATAAAGGCAGTCTGGAGTTCAGAAACTCCAGAAGTTGACACTCGGGCCCCACTTACAGAAAGAACTATTTTTGCAAGATGATCCGTCTTGCAAATGGGAAGCCGATGACTTGGAAAGCCTGGCTGGGAAGATGCCTGTGCTGCAAAGCTCCCAGGCCTAACCTTTAAGTACTTCATCAGGGTCTGTCGGCTTCTCACGTTGGGTTTGCGCCTTCTTTGTCCGGGTGCCCCTTGTGCATTATAGGACGCAGAGCAACCTCCCTGGTCTTTGCTCTGTTGGTTCCGGCAGCAGCTCCCTGCCTGTGACAAGCAGGAATGCCTCTGTATATTGTCTGGGTTGAAGTGACCTGCTTTTTAGTAGAATCAGTTGTGATAACTTCTGCCTTCTGTCTACCTCGGTTATCTGAGAATTTCATCTGGGGCTTTTAAATGATAATATGGAATCTTTGCAGTTAGTGACCCCGTATGTAGAGTCGTATAGTGTATATAGATCATCTCATTTCAGTTTTTACAGTTCTCCTTCGGAGGGTGGTGTCACTTCCATTTTATAGAGGAGGAAATTGAGGCTCTCAGCGGGCTCCCTCGCTGTCGCTGTCCCAAGGGTGACTGGGGTGGAAGAACCCAAGACTTCTGGTTCTAGAGGCAGGACTTTTTCTTCTGGAAAGACTGCCGTGTGTGGTGTAGAAAAACCTCACATAGATGTCTTTCCCTGATAACTAAACCAAGATCTAGACTGTATTGGAAACCGGAAGCCTTCCTGAAATTGACTAGTTGAAAATTAACAATGATAAGCTATTATCTGACAGGGAGTAGGCCGTTTTAGTTAAATATTCTAGTATATGAGCAGCCCCATAAATCCTCACATACAGTTAATGGGATACCAATCGGTCGAGACTTAGAATAGAATAAAACATGCCCTATATCGATCTGGGTAGTCTCTGGTGATTTGTCTTCTCCAGAGACTAGTGTATGCAAATTAGACCTGGCTGGCATACTGGAGGTCAGATTACTGAGGGCACTGGGAAGCGCCCAGGCGAGCCTTTGAACAGAGGTTTCTGTTTGGCAGCTGCAGGGCTGTGGGTAGGGAAGCCCAGAGAATAAGCCAAGAGACCCCCCAACCTGGAATTTAGGTTACACTTCCCTGCAGCTCAGGCCAGATTTGAGTGTGTCCCTGGGCGCTGCGTTTACCAAAGAGCCAAATCCAAGACCCCAGCTTGAAGCCCTTCTTTTTTTACCTGACCTCATAGCAAAGTCATGATAGCTTTTGATTTGCTTACAAATCATATCATAGGCAAATCTTATTCCCAGGAGAATTTGACGTCTTAGTTGGTATAGTCTCAGTCCTGGGATGGTAATTGCTCTCAGTTTTTGTTGACTGTGACCTGGAAGTTTAATTATAGTGTTGTTCCCCATTCCCTGCCCCCTAACACACACACACACACACACACACACACACACACACACACACACACACGAGCTGGTAAAGACTAGTGTAAGTCCAGAAGCCTTCTGAGCTACATACAGGTCCGCGAACGCAAGGGACACTGGTTTCTAGAATGGGTACAACCCGCTGGAGTGACAGGAAGACATGGAACACCCTCTTTCCTTCCAGGTCCGAGGGACTGGCATGTTGGAAAGGGACTGCTGATTTGTGGTCCCCTCTCTTGACCATAATAGCAGGGCTTACCTTCCTGTACCAGTCGGTCAGTTCCTGGAAAGCAAAAGCAGCCCTTTTTCTCTCCTCAGGCTCTGGCGAGGCTGGAATGCTGATGGGATTCTGCATACCCTAGCCTGGCTGGCTGGGCTGGCAGGTGTTGGGGGCCGATGCTATGTTACTTTCTACAGATGAGAAAGGACTGGGCCCAGGGACATTGAATTAGCTTCTGCTAGTGCCAGCTCCCGAAGCCACCTCTACCTCCAAGTTATCTGGTTATCCCGAGTGCAGATCCAACAGCAAAGGCAGACTTTTTAATTAATTAATTAATTTATTATTTATTTATTGGTGGAGTTCATACTGTGTGTCAGGCCCTAATGCTGCAGAGCTGGAAGCCGAGTTGGGTTGTGAAAGTACGCGGTGGGCTTGCGAAGACCTTGTGCACATGCGCCTGTGTGTCTCCGTCTACCCACCGATCTCATAACTGCTTTAAAAGAGGATCCAGGTAGACGCAACCCACACGAGGGGTGGCAGCCATGCGTCCATTCCGTGTTTGTTTTCTTACTGCTGTCACCAAGCAGCTGACCAAAGCAGCTTACGGAGGAAGCGTGGTTCATTGTGGCAGCAAAGTCGTGGCTGCAAGAGCTTCAGTTATCTGGTCCACAGCCAGAAAGCAGAGAGAGATGGGCGACCCCTGATGCTTTCTCCTTTTTATGTCGTCTGGGGCCCCTGGGTCATGGAACGGAGCCAGCCACATGGCGAGTGGTCCTTCCCGCGTTAATTAAAATGATCTAGAAGATGCCTGGCAGTCAGCCTTGCCCCCTGAGTGATTCGAGATCCTTGTCAAGTTGAAGGTCATTATTAAGCGCCACGCATGGTTGCCAGGAAATACACCAAGACGGGTACGTCTTAACGCTTGCATTACGCCTCCAAGGTAGTTGGCGGTCAGAGTAATTGGGATGCTCCCTAGTTGCTGAGTAAGGCAGACTTCGCCATGTGTGAGACTAAGTGCTGGTTTTTCTTTCTTCCCTCTGCATTGGAGCCCCTTGTACTAGAGATGCCTCTGGGTGTCTCTCATTACAAATTAACATGGCTCTTACTGGCCACCAGGAGCTGTTTTGAGTGCTGAGGCCTCACAGCGACTAGCTAGCCATGCTGCCTCCCCAGGAAGGCCGCGCAGAAGGCAGGTGAGGGCAAAGTCCGTCTGCCCTCCGTGTGTCTCTCAGTGGGTGATACTCCCAGTGGCTTCGCTATTTGTGCCTGCTGGGCAGCTACCAAATCAGAGGTCACAGGGAGTCCTGAAGGCCATGGGTTGTTCTCCCTAACACTGGGGTCAGCGGGGCTCTGCTGACAACATCTTCTGAACCAAAGACGGGGCTCTATCCTGTGAAAAAGAATGTCGGAGTAGGAACTCTGTAAGAGGAGACGGTGGGGGGGGGGTGCTTGGATATTGAGAGAGTGGAAGTTTTGAGGCGCTGGGATGGTGTATGTGGAACATTAGGACAGAAGCTCTGGAACTGGGGTAGTTCTGGAAACTGCAAGCCCCTGATAAGCTGTCAGTATACACAAGCTTTAACCAGTGGCCACGGTAATGCGTCTTCAGTGCTGCGTCTCTGCTACTGAAGCCCGGGATGCCTCCCTGCCTCTCTGAGACCCAGTAACTCCCATTTCACAGATGCATTGAGCAATGCTCAGAGGTGGCGGTGACTTCCCAAAAGGACCCACAGTAGCATGGTGGGGACTTGAACCCTAGACTGATTACACACCTGTTAAGCAAAAGTCATCGCAGAATTTATTCCTGATTACAGGCTTTCTTAAACGAGCTATGAGGGGGGCTGGAGAGAGGTCCCAGCAGTTAAGAGCACTGACTGCTCTTCCAGAGGACCTGGGTTTAATTTCTAGCACCCACATGGCAGCTCACAACTGCCAGTAACTCCAGTTCCAGGGGCCCTGACACCCTCACACAGTATACATGCAGGCAAAACACCAATGCAC